AAATAAAATATTGAATTAAATAAATTATATAAAAACCATAACTTTAAATAGTAAATTTGATACTAAAACCAATATATATTTTCTTCCAATTTTTTATAATATATTTAAATTTATATTTTATTCAAAAATAAAAACATTATCGCATTTTCAAAACCACTAAAAACTGTATTATATCTACATGAATAAATAATAAAACTAACCACAAGGGTGGTGCCTGATTGGTTTGAGCTTGGCTACAAAGGTCAAATGTACCTGGAGGTCCAGGTTCAAATCCAAGAAGGAATAAAAATTCCCTTGTGGCCACGGAGGTTCAAATGCGGTGACTCCGGGCTATCTATAAAGCATGTAGTCGCCTTGGGATTAGTCGGCTTGCATAGCGGGTTGGATATCCAAGTTAATAAAAAAAACCAAACACTAAAATTAAGATATATATATATATATATAGCTATATTATGCGAGTATCATTTTAATCATATTTAAAAACTTAAAAAAATAGCCCTTAACCCTTAAATTTGTGTCATTTTACAGACAACTATACTCCAAAAGGTTAGTTCTCCGTTACCCACGTCGGATGCTTTTCTAGACCTCATAAAGACGGTCGTTTAAATAACACATTTTAATTTGCTGTTCAAAACTTCTAAATCAGATTACTTTTTCTATATCGATAATCTTCTGCTTGAAAAATATGACTTATATCAGTATCGTTAAAATTTATTTACGACTAATTTTTATTTTATATTTAAAATTCACATATGTTTTTCTTTTTTCGATTAAATCGTAAAATACTATTAATTTTTACTGCCAACACCTATATGTCGTAACAAAAGAATTTATTCAATAACGTGTTACGATGATTTTATATTTCTGAATAAAAAAGGAATATCAAAATTAAAATACGTTAAAATTTGACCTGAGAATACGATAAAAGAAGTCAATGAAATTGAATATTTTTTGCTATAATTAATGGAAATTTATATAAAGCATATTGGAATATTACTTAAGAAAGACTATAAAATATTTTATTAAACAAAATTATTTTACTAATCATGGAATTTAGGTTCGTTTGGTTAAAATGGGCCACAAAAAACCTTTTAATCTTTAAATTTTGCAAACATCTTATTATATTATAAAATATTTGATAAAAACTCTTAAAAACCATTTTTATGCATAAAATTCTGTTTATTAATGCATATTACTTAAAATTTAAGATTACAAGTGATTTCGCGTAGGTACAACTTATTAAAACTTTATTTTTAAATTCGTGTAACTAACCGTAGATAAATATAAAATGAAGATTTATCTCGCTGCATTGCACGAGTACTTTTCTAGTCAATTTAAATACAAGTAATAATTTATAATCTTAGTTAACAAATTAGATAAAAGAGAAGTTATCCAAATAAATATTTATTAAAAAGAAATAGTGAAATTCACTTTTGGTACTTAAGGTTTAATGATTTATTTGAAAATGGGACCTGAATTTCAATAAGTTAAGATGTCGTCCATCATTTTTGGATTTTGCTTTGAAAATGGGACCTCACCCCTACAGTTAATCAAGAGTAAATTACATTTTTGGTCCTCATGAATCACTTTTAACTAGTTGTGTACCCGCACAATGCAGCGGGAGCCATGAATTTTAACGATTTTGAAGTTTCACTGGTTTTATAAGATAAGATTTAACGATGATATATGTTACACTTGGTCTTTACATATTAATACAATTTGAATAAATAAGAGTTATGGTTCCAATTACAGACTATCGATGAAAAAAATTGTATGACGGTTTAAAATCCAATATATTTAAAATCCAACATATTTAAACGACTCTACAAATGTATTCGATTTACACCAAGAGCAAAGAACCAAGAAACTTGAGTTTTAAGATAAACACTCAAAATCAATAAAGAAAACTACAAATTTGACAGATCATAAGTCATGAAAAGACAAAAAAAGATGGGTTTTAAAATGAAATTTCAACTGCTTACCTAATACATGTCCAGAAACTCAGAAACTCAGATTAATGTTGAATTAATACATGTGTGTATATATATATATATATATATATATATTTCAAAAAAACCCACTAACATATTAATTCAAAACACATTATACAGTGCAATTTGGACAGCCTAACCCCAAAATATGTAGTATATATATAAATAAATAACTATAAAAGTATAAATCGTAAATATTAAAATATTTTTTCACAGTATATATAATATATAATAATATAATTAAGTCAAAAACTATTCAATATTGGACTCATTTCGAAGGTATTAACGAGACGATTATAATAGTGTAACTTGTTAAAATAAAAATGTATTTTTTAAACATGTTTTAATTGATATACGATTATGTATGCTAATTTGATAAATGTTTAAAATGAAACATTTAAAAGTAAATGACGTAAAATAAATAAATTAATTAACTATAGAGATATAAAGTGTAAATTTAAAATTAAGATTTTAAAAAAATAGGTTGTGAGAGGATGAATGTATGTGAGGGGGTGAGTGTATGTGAGGAGAGGAGGGGGTGAAAAAGTGAGTATAAAAGATATTTTGGTCATTTAGAATTTTAAGACTTTAAGACTTTTGTTAAATTTGCTTAATAAGATAGTATAAATTATATGTTCACCTATGAATTACGTTTTAAAAGAGAATTGATCTAGTGTATATCGGTGTACTTTATTAGTGTTGACATTTAATTAAAATTAATCTAAAAATAAATATCTATTCTTACGTTTCTCATCAGAACCTAACCCATACTTATTAAACATATAATTAAAATCCCTAAATATATAATATTTTTGTTTCATATCATTAAATAATGTTTTTACAAAATTAACCCTCCAAGAAGATTTAGCTCAAAATTAGTTTTATTTGATGCAATTTTTTAATGTAAATAAACTTCGGGGTTGTTTGTTTACCTCTTAATAGTTACATTAAAAGACAATATCTAAATTATTAAGAAATGAATTTTGTTTGACAAAATAAAGTTTGCATCTTAATGGTTCTAAAACTCTTTGAATAATTTTGTATCATGAGTCTCCCTTAACCATTCGGTGCCCTAATTTTAATGTAAACAATTACCAAACAATTATATTTTATTTTACACTATACCATAAAAATCACTTAATCATTCTGACCACTTAATCATTTTACACCAAATAATTTAGCAATTAAAAAAATTTATGTCAAAATGACCCGGTTAAAAACAACAAGCATATTCCTCGGTCCGAATGATGGAAGGATAACCTACACCAGCGTCCATTTCATGTAACGTACACCTTAGATTCTGATTGGTTGAATATCCAACAATCTTTGAAAAAAAAAGTAAACTACAATTTTAGTCCCTGTGGTTTGTTATCTATAACTATTTCAGTCCTCGATTTTTAAAAGGTTTTCATTTCATTTCTTTTTTCCCTAGAACTAACCCCGTTAAAAGACTTTGTTAAGTCAAGGTAATTTTGATCATTTAATGCATATATTTAATTTTTATGACTCATTTCAATAAACTAAAATGACATCATATACAATAATTTACCCGGTAAATTCTTACTATGATGATAGTCATCGTCCTCACTTACCAGGTAAGACTGTTGGTCATTGTCTCGTTTTTATCGGGTAAGATTATTGATTTTTACCATATTCATGCGGTAAAGTAATTTGATTTGATAAACGCTTATCCAGATAAGCCGTTAGAGAACAAAATAATTATAAATAACAAATTAGAGGGACGAAAATGGTAGTTTACTAAAAAGTAAATTGGACGCTTCCAGAAGAACGAAAACACCATCGTCATTGTAATGTACAAACCCTAAAGCACACACCTTACCTTATAAAGACGTGTGCACAAGATATCAGGGTTTGACTGTGAATCGCCCCCAAACTATTATCTCTCTCTCTCTCTCTCGTCTTCACCGCCTCTCTCTCTCTAGAAATCAACATGGCCCGTAGAAGCTCCGGAGGTAAGTTTTCTAGGCGATTGTTAATTGTTGCAACCATTAGTTTCAATCATGTATTGTTCCGTGTATTTTGTATGTGCGTGGGAAATCATCGATCTAGATAACGTTGCCATTTGTATGTTCTACCATGAAGTGTTTGTCAACGAAAGATTAATTTGAGATTTAACTGTCATTTTGTGATGTGTGCTTGACTCGTTAAATTGAGGATCCTTAGATTTGTAGATATTGGGATTTGGGATTTGCTTTGTAGGAATTAGGGAGGTTTTCCATGAGCTGTGCCGGATTCATTTAAGCAACGTAGATGTATTCCCTTTTTGCACGTTTCAAGTTTTCAATGGTTCGAGTCTCCTTGTCTTGAAATAGTATTTTACCCAATTTTTGCGTTTTCTCGAAGAAATCTGGAATTGGCAGGGCTTGCTGAGAAAGTAAAGTGAAATTACTTTGCTTTGCAGATCACTACTATCTGGGTTGTAAGATTAACCAAACACGATTGTGAAGCTACAAAACAAATGATATGCTGATATTTTTATTTGTAATTTCATTTTTGGGGCTCCTCGCTGTAGGTCATAGCAGAGGTCTTTTATTGTGGTAGGTGTGAACGACTGAGAACTATTATTGTATTGCATATATTTATTAGAACTAGTACTCTGTAAGTCTGTAGTAGTCTCTCAAAAGAAATGGAAATAGGGTTTGAGTTAGTTGGTTCTCTTTTAGGGTAACTTAGGGTTTCTGCATCAGCTTATGCTTACCGACTAATTCCCCGGGCTACCATGAATGGCCTAGAGTCATCACAGTAAACCTCCATGGCCACACAGGCTTTGACAGCTCCTGATTCAAACACGAGGTAGATGAGATTTTCCTGAGGCTTAACCAGTGCTCCCCAAACCAAGTGGTTGTTGGTCACTTGGTTGGTTCGTTAGCTAGCATGGTACTAAAACACTGTGGCAAACCTCCCTAATTCTTACAAAGCAAGATACCAATATCCAGAAAGCTAAAGACCCTCAAGTTAATTAATCTTGTGTACCTAAACACACTACAATTCGAAAACAAGCGCACATGACAAAAAATGACGGTTAATTCTCAATTTGATCTTTCATCCACAAACACCTCATGAGGATGCACTTTCAGTGAAAATGCAAAGAACCCAAGTTGCCATGTAGACCAATGATTTTCCAACACAGGTTGAAAATATATGAAACTACACATGACTGGAACTAATGGTTTCATCATGTGGGAGTTGGACATGATGCATGTCTCTTTTGGCTTTTACGCTTAAAAGCATGGTAGTTTATATGTTTCATGTTGTTTCGAATTTTGTTTAGCCATGCACATGGATGTTCAGTACTAAAACCGTGTATATTGCAGGAAGGTCGGCCCGTGCACCTGCTCGTGCTCCAGCACGCAACCCCTCTGCACCAGGTAACATGCTCTACTGCCTATTCATTATTCATTATGATCATTGTACACATTTTGGATTTGCACACATCTTTTCCCTTTTATGTCACACATGTTTACCTACTTGTATTCCATTATCTTAACATCTAACATTTAAGTATTTTGCTTCTGCAGCAAGCCGTGCACCCCCTCCTGCCCCTGTTCAGGCCAGCAGTGGTGGATCAATGCTTGGAGGCATTGGTTCCACCATAGCCCAAGGTATATCAGCATAAGCTAAATGCACATCTGTTGTTGCTTAACCTTGATTTAAACATGTCCAAAGGGCCTTTGGCCTAGCGGTATCCAGTAACCCAACCTTCCTAGAGGTCAAGGGTTCCATCCTCACCAAAGGTGGGGGGAGTGTGTTGAGTTCACTTGTCGTATATAAGTATTATATACTTGAGAAATGATTTGACACATGTAAGTCCCATCTCTCTTTTAAATTCTATAATACCTTTTCTTGGTAGGTCTGGCGTTCGGTACTGGAAGTGCTGTTGCTCACAGGGCTGTGGATTCTATAATGGGTCCTCGTACAATCCAGCATGAAACTGTTGGTGCTGCTGCTCCGGATGCTGCCACAACCAACTCTGTCTCTGATGCTTGTGGCAATCACTCCAAGGCATTCGCAGATGTATGTCTCTTATCTCTTTGTCTGTGTCTCTGCTTATTTTCTGTCATCCTTACATCATATGCAACAGCTTGGAACATAAATTTATTGTTGAAATAAAGCAAAGATGTAGTGAATCATGCAAATAAATCTCTAAAGCAAGGATGATTTATGTTCTGTAACTTGCATATCACAGTAGCATACATCTGCAGGTGAAGTTCTTGGGTTTGACGGAATGTTTTTGAGGGATTCGGATTTCGTAGAAGGATTTGGAATCATGGGTGTTTTGGTTTGTAGGACTCGGAATGGAATTGAATTCCATTCTTTATTGATAATTCATAAAAACAAATTATAAATAATTATAAAAATAATTAAATTACCTTTTACTAATTAATTATTACAAAACAAATGTTTTTAACCATATTTTAGAACATCTTAAAAATCCTGTGAACTACCAACTACCCCAATGTGATTTCTAAATCAAATGTTTGTGGGATTTCTTCAATTCCGGATTGTCCTTGAAACCAAGCGCTGAAATCCAATTCCAGGCTCAGAGTTGAAAGGAAAAGACAACCGGATTTGCAGTATTGTTTAAGAATGGACATGCATTTTTTAATCTTTGAGATACCTATACATTTCAAATAAGAATTATCGATACATCATACATGTCTGTAAAGCCTGCATAAATAAGAATTATCGGTTTCGTATTCACGATTTTGTATTTTATTTAGATTAGTGTTTGATGTGTGTATGTTATGTTGCAGTGCATAAACAGCTCTGGGAGTGACATTAGCAAGTGCCAGTTTTACATGGATATGTTGGCAGAGTGCAGGAGGAACTCAAGCCTTGCAGTTTGATAATAATCAGCTATGTTGTTATTGATTGAATTGGTTTATGGTGTCTCTCATCATTTTATGAACTAAAACTACTTTATTGACCAATAAAATGGCATCGATGTTTTTTGCTGGATTCAAATTATGTTTTATTGTCTATAGGATTGGAATCAAATTAAATTCTAAATCTCTCCAAATATTATCCACTCCTACAAACCAAAGAGCCCCTTGGGGTTTGTATGGTTTGCGGGGTTTTGTTAGATTTAGAATTGGATTCTATTCCAATTTAGTGTTTGGTTTAAAAGAAAGTTTGGAATTGAATCCCACGATTATAACAAAATCCCACAAATTATGAAATTTAGAATTTCCATGGGATTGTTGGTGTTTTACGGAATTTATAAGATTTGTTTGTAATAATGTTTTAATAATCAATTAATAAGAAAATAATTTAATTATTGTTATGATCCTAAGAGCATCATGTTTGGTTTGATGAAATGTTTTTGAGAGATTTATGGGATGTTTGGTTAATGGAATTTGGTGGAATTGGAAGGAAGTGGAATATCCAATTCTTTGACCAAATTTCAAATACCATGTTTGGTTCACATAATAGATGTGAATGAATCTTTCCAATTCCAACCAATTATTAATTCATTGATTTCACAATTCTACCGCATATACCACGGATTTCAAATTCCAATCCGACAAATTTCTTAGCCCTCGTTTAAAACAAAGAATGACAACGAGCTAGGTTCGGGCCGGTTATTGGTATCCCCGTCCCAGAAACCGATAATTAAAACCGTCCCCATGACCGCCCCGATCCCCATCGGGGATCTTACCGGGTCCCCGCGGTTTCCTCAATCCCCGTTGGGGAACTCGTTAAGGCAAAAATCATTCTTTTCCCGTTCACCGTTGGTTGTAACCGAACCCGAAACCGATCTAAAAAATTACAATATGTTAATTTTCACAACTAAAAATAGATTATAATTTTTTTAAAGATGCAAGTTTAAATGTCTCAAACATAATCGAACCAATTACAAACAATGTATTAGATTACAATATAAAACTAAACAGAACTTTAAACATCATACAACTAAAATCACGATTTCACAATTAGACAAATAAACTAGATTTTTTCGTGAGCCTTATTTGGGTTGTTGAAATAAAGTGGATAAAAGGTTTTTAAATTTTAATGTTACTATTTTCTTTTAATGATTATATATATATATATATATATATATATGGGCTTAATCAAATGAGAACTGAATT